GCACACACACGCACGCACATGCGTGAAGGGCACACTGCATCCACGCACATACATGCACTTATGCCCCGCGCAGACGCACGCACGCACTCACGCACACAAGCACACACACCCGCCCACCTGCGGGCACACACACGCACGTACGCATATTACATACACTCATAACTTAGTGCATGCATCATCACCACCATACACTACAAGCGAAACCACGACCCCAACCCTAACCCTAACCTGAATCCGGGTGGACCTAAAGCAAGTCTTCGAACTAACGACCTCAATACTCATGTCAAAACGTGATTTCAGTACTTATGCAAATTCTCCATCTCCATTTACCCCATCGCAAAACTTGAAATCGTGAAACGGGCATGGGTTTCAGTGTGGTTACGTTCCACGTGTTGGTTTTTAGTGGTGACCTCTTGGCCCACAGCCACGGGAAACCGAAATAGCCAGCAGGCAGCTATTGATTGGGAGAACCTGACCAGGCAGCTGGAGAGATCATATGAGATGGTGGGGGAAAGCTGGTGAGGTCACTGAGGTAGGATAGTGGGGGGAAAGCTGGTGATATAGGATGGTGGGGCTGGTGACACATACGCACATGGCAACGTATGCACTCTCGAGAGAGGAAATCCGAGTAACAGACAAGTCAAACCTAGTGTGCGTCGACGTAAAAGGATGTACATCACCAAAGATTTCACCTCACTTCTCCGAAAGTAAAACCCACGTTGTCCGGCATAAAAAAATGGGGTAAATCGGAGATGTGCTTATCCTATTATTAATAGTACACGTGAGTACGCATCCACTAACCCCTGCACACGTGACTTGCTTATTTACACATTTGCCTGCAAGGACAGCTTTCTCTGTAACGGATGCCATTTTACATTTACTGGCACCGTGCCTAAAAGCAGCAGGCTGATGGTTTGAGTTTTTTTCTGAATACGTGTTGGTGTTTACATTATATATGGGAACTTTTTTTTTACTTAAAACCTCTCAAATACACTCTACAAGTATGTTTGTTACAAGAGCAGTTTTGGCAAGAATGAGGTTACGAACATGATACGTTCCCACACCCGCAATCAAGCTACAGCTAGTGTTGTTCAACTAGCTACAGAGAATAATTATGGTTCGTGTCAGTTATAATTGCAAAATTATTGATCGAAGTTCTACTGTGCAGTGCAATCGACACATTATACAGTACGCTGTATCAAAATCATGACGTTACGACAAAACAAAACACCACAAACATATCTCAAATATAGATATGTGTTCAATGGTATACTCCCAATAGATGCTCATCTCATCTCATCACTCTTAGTATAGATGATCTATACTAGCAGTGATAGGTTCGAGATAACACAAGAATCGCAAAAATTACATCGATTATCGCGAGGCATAGGTTCGCTCGGGTCTTTTCGATGTCGCTCGCACAGAGTGCCAGAAGTTACGCCCGAAATCTGCCATATCATACCATACCTGGATGTTCTGCAGAACGATCCTTCCGCCGCGTTGGTTCTGGTACTTCATGAACTTCTCGGCATGTTCCCTCTCCTCAACGCTGCTTTCCGAAAAGAACTTGAAGAACCCGGGGAGTGCGACGTCGTCACGATCAAAGTACCAAGCCTGCAACCGCCATTCGACATTCCTATCGCACTTCCGACAGCAGCATAGAACGCGCACACATCGTCATAGTTTTGCGTTGATATACTTTTTATTTTTGTACTAAGTGGATATGGAATCGGAATAATGTATATACTACATAAATTACAACGCTGTAAGGACTTGTTATAAGTTATTGTGCAGACTAACATCCGGGTAATCGCACATGTATGTGCGCAGTTACCGGTACTAAAAATAGATTTTCACGCAACGCCATTTTTCGAGCGAAAATTTCTCACACTCATAGTAGTTCGAACTAATTCCATACTTAGAAACGAGTAGTCGCGTTTAAATTACATGAGAATACTATATTGATAATTTCAAACATTCTGAACACACAATTGGTATTCTATTTTTACCCTAAACGGTCGAAAACCTCGACAGTATACGTACCATGCTTTGGTAAACATAGCTGGCGTACAATTCCAGATTGATCTGCTTGTTTATGCCAGCTTCGGTTTGGCTATGGTAGTTCTGACGAGGCTGTGATGTGGCCATGGTGTCTTGAGTTGTATGTGATATATTTAACAGCAAATAAAGGAATGTTGGTAAAGCTTTTTGGACAGATTCTGTTCGTTCACACACTGATGAAGCAATACAGACTCAGGACCAAATAAATTGTTGACGCGGCAGCGCGCGCGCCTTATATAGCTCGCAGCTGGATCAGCAGAAAACCCGAAACGCAACGAAAGGGTTAGTGCTGACTCATTCGCTTCGGTAAACAGTTTTTTGCCTGTCTTCAGTGTCTTGCCCGCGAATTCGTAGGAAAATTACTAGTATTATTATTAGTAACAATTGTGTAGTTAATACAGAGTAATTTAGCGCATGGACTATATCGACCTGAATTGAATAGATCTAGCAACGCATACAATTTTTTTTACAGTTTCATGGCTTCAAAATAACTCGCAAAATCATTGCAAAATGTGTGCAATTAAAATAGATCGAGTTGTTATATTTTTACAATATATATATATATATATATATATATATACTATATGCTGTATTACTGATAATTATTATAAAAAAAAGTGCATATAGTGTAATTTTCGCAGCACGAATATATATATATAGGTGTTGGCCGGGTGTTCGACTTTTATTTCACGTCGCACCTTCATTTATGTTGCGAATATCGACCATATACATACAGGCCCGTAGCCAGCTTTCTATTGGGGGGGGGGTTCGTTCGAACCCCCCGAACCCCCCCTGGCTACGGGCCTGTACATAGATCGTACTTTCTTGGCGACATGGCTTATATAGCGGGACACATTCTATCTGTGCATGGTTCCTACCCGAACTCCCCTTCCCCTCTTAGTAATAATGACAGTGTCCATGGCCTGGTATCGTCACGCTTGTGACAACAACGTGAAAAGGAGTGTCAAAGACGTCATAGCCACGTAGCCATAAGGAGTGGAAGAGAAGAGGAGTGTTAGCTAGTGACTGGACGAATGACTCATGCTCAGCACTATTCTCTTCTACTGCGTTGTCCCATTAAACATGCAGTAATTACGAAACGCGCGAAGTGGTATATTTTTTTATTGCATTGAATTGAATATATAGTTTATTAGAGGAGGTCATATAATGATAGTGACGCTTTGGTAATTCCCACGTACATCTTGGTTGTCAATCAGGCTTAGTACGGGTAATTGCTGTATAGTGTCGTGTACGTAGTGTGCTATATATACACAGTTAAAATTCTTGAAGTATATATTATGCTCTCAGTCTCATTGCTTAATTTCGTGGTGAAATTATCGTACACACATATATACTGCACATATACGTCCTTATTTGTAACCTCGGTGTTGTGATTGCTCACCAATAACGAACAGTCAAATAATTCGTGACGAAGTACGGTAACATGCAACGAAATGTTGGAGAAGTACGTACGTCCTTATAACACTGAATTTTTAAGGTTAATAAAATCTGAAGATTAATAGTGGAGGATTGCTGTTAATGGTGTTAATATTATCACTAGCTGATTAAAGAAGAAGGAAGCGAACTAATTCCGATACGTGATAAACAGATTTGTCATTTTTTTAGCAATTCAGTGTGTCATGCACTACGCACGCGTGCACCTATATGTGCGCCATCATTTTTTTTAAACTAAGACAAATGTTAGAAAGGCTACACTTTATTCCATCTCGGGTGATAGGTCTGCATAATCAATATATCTCATCAAGTTGTGACCTGCGTCAACAAAAAACCACACGGTGGCGCTACAGGCACCCGTAGCTGTACTGTAGAGCCTCAGTGTAGAGCATTACAAGTAGGGCTACTACACCTTCGGGCCAAATGCGCATATATGATATAGCAATGTCACAAACAACTCGTAATGTACTATGGCCCTAGCTGCTTGTACAGTGCAACGTACGTGTTGCCATGATCTGGCAACAGGACCGTAGAAATAAGATACTTAGATCGTACTTAAATAGTCTATTTATACATATACGCGGGGCGATAAACGAAGTCGCGTCGGTCGATTTATGTATAGCCTACAGTGGCAAAGTGACGCGTCTCCACTCTACATGCTCTTTTCAACCAACGTTCTCTTTTTTGAAACAATGTAATTTCCCAAATTTTTGACCCTCGCATCAATGGCGCTCTGCAACACTGGAGGTCGAGGAGGGGGTCTCTCTCTCTCCTCTCTTTCTCTCTCTCTCTCTCTCTCTCTCTCTCTCTCTCTCTCTCTCT